ACATTGAGCCTCGAAGACTCATTTACAAGTGAGACCTGTTTGGACAGACAAAAACAGTAGTTAACTGAACACATGTAGTACTTGGAGGCAAAAAAAAAAAATTCCTATCAGACTTTTTTTTTTCCTGCCTGAGAAAAAAACCCCTCTAATATTAAAAAAATAAAACGCGCACAAACAAGCACATATTTATGTAGACAATCTGCAGACGGGGGAGACGAGAGCGGTCAGCAATGTTCATAGATGCTCTCAAGGTCACTGTAAGAGTTCTGATAAGGATGGAATAATCAGTTGATGTCCTCCGGTGAGATCCATAAACATTCTCGAGGGATGTTGAGTTTCTGTAAATCTCGAGCAACAGAAGTACCATCGTTTTTAGACTATGAGCCTCTACTTTTTTTACATGCTTATACAATGCTATGACTAATTTATGGATTTATTTATTTACTGACGGGCTAACAAGCTTCATGCTGCCAAAACATTTTGTCTCGTCACACCGAGTGCTCACATAGCTGCCCAATACACGTCTCTCTTTGGGGGTGAGTCCTCGTGACTCAATGTACCTTTATAAATAAAGGTTTTTAAAAAATCTGATCAATTACCAAACAGGTCACTGTGGACCAATGAAACTTGGTTTCACTGGTCCACTGGGGAGCAGGGAGAAATGAAGTCCCTCCTCCATTCCCATTCTCTCCTCCCCTCCCCGCTGTAATAATTCGATGGATAAGCGAATGTAATAAACAAGTGTTGCATACAGATAGATTGTTACAGAAGTGTTTAATTGCCATTTAACGTATCAATGACGTGCCTAATGATATGTCATGTATCATTGGGCACTTTAAGTGGGTATACTGAAATTCTTCAGCTTTTTTAGTGGGTATACTCCATAGACCTGCATATCGCGTAGACTACACCACTGCCTTATGCCCCTTTTCCACCGTCACAGAGCGGATCAGATCAGTTCGGGTTGGTTCAGATCGGTTCGGGTCTGTTGTGTTTCCATGTACGTTTCTGGACCGGCTCTGTAGGCGGGGACTAGAATCCAACTCATCTTACCACCTGGTGGCGGTAGTGCTCCCTTAAGCTACTTACTAGCCACCACTAAACGTATTAGAAGAAGAACACCCTGAAGGTTTTGTCACAAGATGTTGTAGAAAAGATGTCATGCTCTAATGGAGTACCTCATGAGCTGTAACTTATAAACCTGATTCATAATCCTACCTTACTGCCTTCCCTGCTGCTTTAAACCCATGTGTTTTTCATTTTAGTATAGATTTTTACAATAAAGATGTATTAAAAATATCTTCACTTTTATTATTTGCAGATATGCACAAGGTTCATGTTAAAATTGCAAAACATCACACTGTGCTGTAATCTTTGAAACTGCTTTTACAATAAGATACAGACTTGAAAACAATTAGATTAAATTTTGTCCTTGAATTTTAAAGATTTGTCTTTCATTAAATTAAAACATAAATTTATTACTTATTAATCTAAAAAAGTCTGGTCCTCTGGACATTCAAAAAACAAAACTAACAAAAAACATTTAGTTTATTTATTATAAACTGTATTGTTTGTTTTGTGAATGTCCAGAGGACCAGACTTAACTTTTTAGATTTTTCTACCTGGATTATTGAGCAGCATCAGGATATTAATTAATAAATAGTCAGTTGGTTTGTGAACACCATGGGGTCCTAGAAGAGTTGAAGAGGTGGCTGTTGATGTCTGTGCCTCCCTGGTGAAGATGCTGCTCCCACAACCCTGAAGCAGAAGAGGATGGATGGATGGATGGATGGATGGATGGTGAAGGAGGAGACCATCAAACACAGCAGGAGTGGTCAGTTCAGGTGAACTCCTGCCTGTTTGCTTCAGATCAGCTGTTCAAATCTCTGCAGTTTCAAATAAAATGTGCGCTTGGGAAGAGGATCTTGGCTTCTCTATTTCAGAGAACTCCTGGACCTCCATACTCAGACTGGTGAGCTCCAGTTCTCTATGTGCTAGACATCACCTAATCCAATTTAAAGTGGTGCACAGAGCTCACATCTCTAAACTGAAACTGTCCTTTATGTATCCTGATGTCAGCCCATACTGTGTAAGATGTAAATACGCTGAAGCGTCCCTCTCACACATGTTTTGGTTTTGCTCATCCCTGAACAAATATTGGAGGGAAATTTTTCAGACTTTATCACGTGTGCTAGGTACACATCTGAGCCCAGACCCACTGATTGCTTTGTTTGGTGTCGCAGAGGGAGTGACAAATCTAAATAAAAACCAACGGCATGTACTATCTTTCACCTCTCTCCTGGCCAGACGAGCCATTCTGCTCAGGTGGAGAGAACCATTTCCCCCCACTCACGCTCAGTGGTTGACTGACATCATGTCTTCTTTAAAGTTGGAGAAAATCAGATTGTCACTCCAACAGAAAGAAGGCAAATTTGAGAAAGTTTGGGGAACTTTCCTGAATTTATTCCAGTCTCT